TCCCCTCCTGACGTCGCGTGGTCGTCTTGGCGGCTCATTGTAACAACCAGTCACAGCGCTCAACTAGAAAGAGACAGATAGAACACTCGGCATCCATCTCTCTCTTTTCCTCTATCACTTCCACTTACAGGCTTGTTCCCTCTATTCTTATATCTCTATGAACGCAATGCCCAAATCGCCCTTCTTGCTATTCCATTCAACGCCCGCAGCGTTCATTGCGTAGGTTCTCCTCATGCGGCGTAACTTGCGTTAACGTAATTTGCGTCAGCCAATCAAATCCACCGTGGTCCTCTAACTTGGGCTCTAGGAGGGAAGATGACTCCCGCTATTGAACAAGGGAACAAAGTGGATAAGGCGTTTCTTATAGGGATATTAGCCCTCTAGATGGAACTATACGAAAAAAGAAAATCATTATATGCTGGAGATAGTCGGCAGGACGTGACAGTATATATTTTTTAAACTATTGGCTTCTGTCCACAGGACGCGGCAACACTTGTCGCACGGCAAGAATCTACGCGTAGCCAAACAACTTTTAGTTCTTGTAGAGAAGCGACACATTGATTGGCTACTGCGTCGTTTCTTGCTATGCGGCAAGCGTTGCCGCGTCCTATGGGTAAAAGCCATAAAAGAATGTGCCAATTAAATGTAAAGCCAGCGGCACACGATGCTTGTTTTTGTGCTGGATTGCTTGCTGGATAGAAATACTGCGTTCTGATTGGTGCATTTCCAAAAATGGATAACAATACACCAATCAAAACGCAGTACTTCCGTCTAGCAAACGATTCAGCACAAAAACAAGCATCGCGTGCCGCTGGCTTAAGAAAACACTAAACGCTCAGTGAGCGGTGTAGTACTGAATGCATCAAATGCACCAAGTGGCTACTCGTAGCGGACAATTATTGCAACTGTTTTGTGTCCAGCTTCAGGATTTTTTTATTTATGAAGTTGGTACTCGTGAGATTGATATTCGGGAATGTTTAACGTATATAGCGCTCCATACAAGAGTAGCGGCCATTTGTATCGTGCGTTTCTTGTCGCTCCTAACCAAGATGAAGTAAGCGATAGTCTTTCGTGCGAAATATATCTAATAAACTTTCTGCAATCCTTTTGTATCTGCAGCCAAATTTTAGCTCATTGCCTAGTCATAATGTCCGTGATTGATATACATTCATTCTTTTCAGGATCGGCCTTTGCGCGTATAGCGGGTATAAGATATATCCGGGTCATGGCAAGACCATGGTCAAAGTTGATGGAAAGGTAAGTATCGCTAAAACAATAATCGCACGATAATATTTGAATATATCCCCTTTGATTCTTCGATTATCGTAACATGTCCTGCCGAAGACGCATGGTCCACATTAATTTGTTATTAGTTTGCTTGGTGAACATAACCTTCATTATGTATTCCCGCAGACCTTCACTTTCCTCAATTCGAAGTGCGAGTCCGCACACTTAATGAAGCGCAATCCCAGAAAAGTGACATGGACTGTTTTATACAGGTATAAATGTGTATTCCATCATATGAGTCATTTCTAGTATTTCTAGGGAAGGTAACCCATCTATCGTGTATTCTTTAGACGTAAACACAAGAAGGGTCAGGAAGAGGAACAGACCAAGAAGAGAACGAGGCGTACTCAAAAGTTCCAACGTGCTATTGTAGGTGCTTCTCTGACAGACATTTTGGCAAAGCGTAACATGAAACCAGAGATTCGTAAAGCACAAAGGGAACAGGCAATCAAGTATGTATTCCTTTAATTAGTTGCTCCATTATTATTATTATCGTTATCACAGAACTACATAAAAGCTGATCTACTTAAAAGCGATAAGATCATATATTAAATATATTTTATTTAAAAGTAGATCATGCACATGATATTTAGACATCCGTTCCTTTGATATAGCTTTCCATGCTATGTTAGATTTCAGGATGTCTTAGAATAAATATGGACTGCTTCACCCAGAATTGTATTCTTGCTTACACTGTCTGGCTTTTGCGGGTTCATACAATAATTACAATAATATTTTACAATATTAAAGCTCCAGAGCAATTGCTATGACTGTCCTTGTTTAATGACATCAGAAGAAAAAACGTGCCAAAATTTATGTTATATTTTCAAATGAAAAAAATATATCTAGTGATATTTGTGACAGGTTTAGCACACTTGTAAAATTGGACGAACGCTTTTACTCGAACAATCAATAAGTAATCGCAAAATTAATTTAACATGAAACCTTTTCCAAATTCTTTTTTTTATGATTTTGTCAGTATTAATCTTACGACTACTTAAACAAGGACAGCGACTACTCTGGAGCTTTAAGTAATAATGACATTGCTCAAATGTGATTTTTTTTAGGGCTGCAAAGGAACAGAAGAAAGCAGCAAAGGCAACAAAGAAAGCTGTTGCTCCACCGAAAGCCAAGCAGCTACCGAAACAAAAGGCTGCTAAGGTGACGCAAAAGTCCGCACCTCGAGTCGGTGGTAAACGATAAAAGCTCTGTAATTACATATAAATAAAATAATATAATTCCTATTTTGTTTTGGATATTTTATATTGCAGACAATTCAGTTAGATAAAATCTTGAAACAAGATACAATAGAGTCGTTTTACATAAATCGTTATATAGTCAATTTTATAAATAGAATGTAATAATACATGAATTGCGCTTAATTTGTATATGTTTTACTGTTTGTCCTTATTCAACTCTTTCTTGAGTGCGGACAACTTCATCAGAGCGACGTCACGCCACGCTCGTCGTTCTTGTAACTGGTTGAGCGGACACATCTCGTTCAATTCGTTGCTGATTTTCTCTGCCGTTTCGCCAACGAATCTTGGAACTGGTCCGAAAGTCATGCTCACGTCGTAAATCGACTTGTTATACGTCTCGCAGTATTTTCTCATTCCTATAAAATAGTACAGCCTGAATCGCGTTTCGTTGAGAAACTCATTTGTTCGTTGGTTTTTATAATATACAATGGCTTTTTGCAGCTGCATGTGGGTTAAACTTACCTTCCGCGTTCAAATGTGCGGCCTCGAACGCACCGAGAAACGCGTAACGCATTCCGAGACCCTCGCTCATTACCGCGTCAATGTCCTTTGCGCTCAGAACTCCGTCGGCCACCAACCTCCAAGCTTCGTTCAAGATCGCGTATCTGACAATACGATTTTTTTCAAATACGAAGTATTACACTATACAGTTGACAATAGTAATGACAGATTGAAGAACAATCCAGCAACGATGTTCGATTACGTACTGTATTCTATTGAGCGCGAAGCCGTCGATCTCCTTATTGAGGAGAACAGGTGTTTGCCCAATTTCTGTCATGATGGCTTTTGTCTTCTCACGTATATCAGCACGCGTCCACGGTGCTGGAACTATTTCCACGAGAGGCACGTAATAAGGAGGGTTCACCTGTGTTTAAGATATAATCATGTAATGATCACTTACATAGATTGAAAAAAAATATCATACCATTGTGTTTATAAGAAATATAAAATACGTAACACCATGTGTAATATACAAATAACTATTATCCTACTTTCTGGTAATCGAGTTTGTGAAGTATCAGGATTTATCAGAAGATTGGTATCGCTTCTGCTATATTTTTAAATAATGCTTACAGGGTGGGAAACTATAATTTGGTCACGGTGTTTCAACTTCTCGCTGAAGAGAGATGGAGGAAACGTAGATGTTGACGAAGATAAGATCACTTTATCGTCGACTATCTTATCGAGTTTTTCGTAAAGTTCCGACTTTAACGAAAGATTTTCTGGCACGCATTCTTGTATAAATATTGCTCCTTTCACGGTTTCTACCAAATTAGATGATGCTGCAATTTAATATTGTGTATTAGGCTTCGCAAGAGAATTTTCTTGAAAAATCTCATTTTGGAGACTATCCTAACATATCAACTACACGAATTCGTAATTAATTTAGGATTTTATCAATATATAAATATTTTATATAACGGAAAGAAGAGAGAAAGGGAGAGAGAGAGAGAGAGTTAAGCAAACAAACCTTTTAGCAATTTCATTTGTTCATCCGCTTTCAAAGAACCCCTCAGAATACCATTATCTTCAAGACGTTTCAGTTGCATACCAATATCTATTAGCGCTTCCTTGTATTGCTTACAGTCAATGTCGTAAATGGCCACTTGGTATCCTACGCTGGCGAACAACATTGACCAGCTACGTCCGATTAAGCCGCTGAATCAAAATTAAATGAAAAAGATTAATTATTAAATATTAGTACAAGCGTAAAATGATATGAATTTCGCGAGAAAATATTACGGTATTTGATTTCAGATAATTTATTATATCTTTACATGAAAACCTTCAAAAACGCGATTTTTTACAACTTTTATAGTTATATTTTTATGCTTGTAAATGTTTTTATTTTTATGCTTGATGCTTTTTTTATCTTCCTTTTTCATCTTTACAAATTCTTTTAGGAAAAAAGAGAATTTTCAGATTTTCCAAAGAGAATTTCTCCTCTCTTTTGTTTTTAAGATTCTATTATTTTATTTCTGTAAGCCAGCCCTGATAGAATGATCGCAAAGAACATCACCATGCATTTGATCTAATTGTAAGAAATTTGTTATGTTTGTTATGTCTCTTAACATTATCTTATCTGCAAACGAGGATGGCCAGACTGATGTAATTTACTTGAGCATTGTGTTATCGCCTCTCTCGTGGAAAATCGATTCATCACATGAAGAAATGGATAGTGCGACGCGATATATGTAATTGCTGTCTTACTATAAGATAAAATTAATATTTTATAAAATAATATCGAGCGAATAAGTATATTTAAACATTTTATTTCGGAAGTGTTAAAACGTCGCCTATTAATTTCAAATACAGAGTGGAATAAAAATTCATTATTTTCGTAAAACGCGCGCTAGCAGTAATCTGTAAGTATCACAAAGACAAATTATAAAGTTTGAGTTCGCTCTTTTTCTCTTTCTTTTAAATTTATTGGAATCTTATTTTCCCATTTCTAAATTAGATAATTTTGTTTATTTCATACTGTAAAAATATACGTTGTGCAATTACAATATTACAGTGTTCCTCTCTAATATAACAGTTTCCATGAAGGTCGATTTTACACAGTTATCAGAACATACTATTATATAATCAGTTTTTCCATAAATGAAAATAATATAAAGGTAACTTGAATTTATAAAGTCCTTCAACAAAATAATTTAAAAAAGAAAGTTATGCGCAAATTATGAGAAAAAAAAATCAATATGGTACGACCGAAAACTGATATAATTCTCTAACAATCTTATCGTTAACGTGACATAAGACGGCACATGCTTATCAGTAACAATATGTGCTGCTAAAAAAGTAATAACTCAAGCTCCATTATGTCTATTGCTCGTTGCAATCGATATTATACTGAACCAATGTGTTAATGAAACGAAAATAATAAGTGTTAATTGTTTAATTATCGCACCAATCACTCGCGTTGAGTAACAGTCAATCGTATTACCTGCCAATGATTGCAATTTTTTCATCTTTAGTCGACATGATATCGTAGTTGTGCATTTGGCCAGTAGGAGATTGTGGAGAAAATGATCTACGAACTCTGTAACAGATGGAATGTAACACTAGTGGACGTAGTCAGCGAAGGTGTCGATATATATACACTCGCACTATCAGCCATCCCCCTCCTTGTTCATACATGTTATGTTACGACATGTACCGGAGAATGTACTGAAATCATTATCATAGATATTCGCTGAACGATGCCTTCGAGCGTCGTTATCTTGTTGGAATATGCAATAAGTATAGTTATATGGATAAATACAGCCGGCGCGGAATTAATCATTTAAAGCATAATCATGGATCAAGATATTGCCTATTCTATATTTTGCAAAAGTAAGCCAATTAAGTGAAATTGACAGAAATGTTCATTAGCGAAGCATTAAATTGTCATTAAAAGTTAATAATAATATTTATTATTCTTCAACTATCAGCACGGTATAAAGAAAGACTCAAGATTTTAATTCGAGATGTGTTGACTGGCAAATTGTCTGACAAATAATATTTATTGGAGTATTTTTCTTGTGGAAAAGACTTCGAGAATAAAGAATATATTGAGGGCATAAACAGCCATATTTATTAATATAACACATACAGCATGATACTTTCATTGTCATAAATTATGGACACAGCGATGAATTTAACAAATTCTCAACATTCACGGAGAATTTCCACGATATCCGTCATAATGTTAAGGTAATTATTTTCACATTTATGATTTTATAACTCAACTTTCTTCTGTAATTTTTTTTTTAAGATAAACCATTAATATTTAAAGTATCGATTTTCCTTTCCTTTTTTTAAAGGTTTATCTATTAAAGTATCTTTATAAGCGCGTGACGTTTCTAGAATATTATATAAATATTATTAATTGTTAAAATAATATTCTTATTCTAAGAATGTTATATATAAAAAATATTTTTTAATATTATAGGAATGTCCTATTAATGTTATGTCCACTCATATAATATTCTTGGCATATTATAAAGATGTTCCATAGAATATTAAAAAAAGTAATAATATAGAAAAAAATATATAAATAAAAAAAAGAAAAAAATATATGCGTGCGTGCATGCGAGTTTATCACGGAATTTATTTTTAATTCTTTTTTAAATAAAATCTCATGCGGCACGGTATGTCAAGAAAGCAAAATCCATGAGAGGAAAATCTCGTCGGGCGTTACGCGTCGTACATACGCCCCTAATCGCGGAAAACCCGCGGCAAACTACGCGATTGGCCACATGAGTGGACATTACACGATCTGCCGGGGAAGAACCTGCGACATCATCAAGGTTATGTAGCTGACGCATTCAGAAATTCAAGTCAGTTGATTATGTTCGTTTGGTGAGTAATGATCTCTGTGCGGTGCGCGTTAATTGTGGCGAGAAAGGAAAGGCGGTAACGTAGTCTCACTCGGCGATTCGTCGTTTCCTCGATCACGAGGACCGATGTACGAAGTGACCGTCGCGCGACGGTAAAGAGATTTACAATCGCAATACATGTTACGAGACGAAGAAAAGTGTACTTTTACATCGGATAAACAAACATTCGACGCGATGCCGGATGCATATGAGAACTTTAATATGGCGATGTTGATGGGCAACATTATCGCAGATAACGATGTAGAGCCATACCTTACGTACAACGGTAATGCTCGGCGAATCGAACACCTAAGCATCGCGCATTTCATTCTTGCGCGGCGAATCGTACTTGAAGTAACGGCGCGGTATTATTTGTCCTCACGTCGCTGCATTTGTCATAATAATACGCGTTAATCACTTATTGATTACCTCTATGTGCGGTGTACCGACGTATGGTCGCGCAACTTCTGTTGTACCGATGTGTTTTAATGCGATGTAAACGTGATTTAAATCAATACCGCAATAATTTATATCCTGCGCTAATGCAGATTTCGAAATAAACGGTTATTACATCTAAGCAATGTGAGAGCAGATTTATCCTTCTATTTGACATAATACTTCTTATATTATTGTATTGTTAATTATTACAATATACATGTAGTATTTGTTCAGGCACAATTTCATATATTTTTCATCTTCCAGATTTTGCACAAGTACCTAATACGAATGTATTGAGTCCATACAGCAGTTCTGGATCTCAGGGAAATATGACTGCATCTCCCATGTCGTTATCCTCGTCTCCTCAACATTTAGAGGATTATATTACTTTTAACAATAGTTCATGTAGATATGAAGGTATTTTGGTTTCATCAAATGATAATTATATAAGACATAGCTTATTATTTCTATTTACAAATGTGTTCTTTCGTGTGTCAAATCATAATTTAAGGAATAAATTTACTATGTATTTTTTCAATTTTTTCATAACAGCAATTGGTGAACCATACATTGAGATTTTGGTGCAACCAGTGGAGAAATTCAGATTTCGATATAAATCTGAAATGGTTGCTACACATGGAACTTTGTTGGGTGTACCAAATGGAAATTCACGAAAAAAATCTGCACCTACAGTCAAAGTAAGTAAAATGAACTTTACACACAAAAACTCCATAATGCAATTATCTGGTGCACATAATTTTGTTATTAATATTGCTTATTCAACTTTTTAGTTACATAATTTTCCAGACAAAGCGATAATACGATGCACATTGGTTACATCCGATGATGAACTTAGAATACCTCACGCTCATAGATTAGTGAGGCGTGATGATGTTTTGACAGATCAAGATGAACCACATGACATAGAAGTTTCGTCGCAAAACAACTTTACAGCCACGTATATATAATGTTTTACATTGAATAATATTTTGGATATACATTTTAATTCTGTTTCATTCTTTGATTAACATATTACATTTATGATATATAAATATATGTTGATACAGACATGTGTTTCTTCTCTAGATTTACTAGTATGGGTATAATACACACCGCGAGGAAGTATATCAAAGATGAACTAGTAAAAAAAATGCGCAATAAGCTTTTGGAGGAACGCAGACGTGCTAATATAAATGCTATTAGCATTCGAGATGACGCAGAAGTAGGTTGCAATTCTTATTGACATCTTGTTCGACGCTACAAATTACATAAATTTATGATCATATTTATATGCCATTTATTCTTAGTTTTAAATAACGAATGGTAATTAGATTACCTTTAAAAAGAAAATTAAAGCTATATTAAATACAAATCAGAAATGAACTTTTTTTTAATTAATATTGTGTTTTGATTATAGATTAAATCTAATGCAGAGATTTATCAAAAGTCGATGAATTTGAATAGCGTCACTCTCTGCTTCCAAGCGTATATTCCAGATCCTCATAATGTTATAAGATTTATCACAGCATCGGTTTATAGCAATCCAATCAATAATTTGAGTAAGTTTAAATAATTTGTTGTGACATAATTCTCGTTGAGAAAAGTTATACCTGAGACTTCGAAATACTTTTATCTCGTGATGATTATAAAGCTGTAATACTGATATTTTTTAATAGAAAGTGCATTGACTGGAGAGCTAAAAATATGCAGAATTGACAAGTTTTCTAGCAGTTGCGTAGGTGGCGAAGAGGTGTTTATGTTTGTAGAAAAAGTCGGCAAAAGTAAGTGATATTACTGATTTAATATTTCTATTCGACATTGTCAAAATTGCATGTTAAATATGTATACTGTACACGTTCACGAATAATATACATATATGTACATTTTATTATAGAAAATATAAAAATAAGATTTTTTGAACTGAACGAGGATGATATCGAAGTTTGGCACGATTACGGCCGTTTTTCGGAACTAGATGTCCATCATCAGTATGCCATTGTATTTCGGTATGTACGCCATACATTAAATACTTGACATTGTACACGATTTACTACTATTAATATGTTTGTAGAACTCCACCATACAAAGATCAGAATATTACTTCTCCGAGAGAAGTTTTCATACAGTTGGAACGTCCTTCGGATTCAGATTGCTCTGAACCAGTCAAATTCATGTATAATCCTAGCGATCGGATGATGGGTGAGTTAATAATAAGGCGCTGTTGCTCTCGCATATGTTATTAACATTGTTGTTATAAATTGTTTCCCTTCTTGCTTCTTGTGTTTAGTTCCAGGTAGAAAAAGGACGCGAATCTCTCATTCCAATAGCACCGAGTTAACACAAATGATTGTTAATCACAATATGAATCCGACATCGGATGTGCCTATGACTTCCAATGAAAGCACTGAAATTTCTACAGAAATAAGAAAGATGCTGGACAATGATAGATGTTCTTCTAGTGAATTCCGCGATTTTCTTGCGAATATAGACTTTGAAAGTAAGGATTGAGAGAGAGAGAGAGAGAGAGAAAGAGTGTTTTATGTCTATCAGCAGATTCAAGGGTCCTAACTTACGCATTATTTCTAAAATGTAGACGATGTGTTTAACGAAGATGAATGTTTCAGAGTATACAAATTTATGGTCTAATAGCGAGGAAAATAAATTAACTTACGACGGACCATCAAGAAAGGTAAGTATGAAATCCAATGTATGCTAGCTTAAAAAAATAATAATTATATAATCTTCATTATTATCGTCTGTATTTTGTGTCTTTATATAGCAAGAAAACGACAAAGCGTTTTCCAGAAATATTATTATTGACACCTTGAAACTAATCAAAGCAGAGCAAGATAAAGAAAAACAAAAGGAAATCATCAAAAACTCGCTCAAAGATAGATCAACCTACGGGGATTCGCCACTTCATTCTGCTCTCCGGCATGAACAAAAGAATATTGCTAAGTATATCTTGATGCTTATGAGCACTCTTCCAAATTATAAAGATCTGGTAAACACTCAGAACAGCTCGGGAAAGGTAAGTCCTTCAGATAATATTACATATGTCATCGAATAATGATAAAAATTACACTAATATATTATGCCGTAGACACCGTTACATTATGCTGTTACGCAAAGTCAATCGGATATTATCAAAGTATTACTTCTGCTGGGTGCAGATTTGAATCTTTCCGACAATTGCGGACAAATGCCACTGCACTGTGCTGTGAAATGTATGTATACCAGTTTACAAAAATATCCAAAACAATATAAATGCTTCTCGAACGAATAGATAAATTAAAATATTATATATTCGAAATATCTCGATTGATCTCAAAGCAATAATAGCAGCAACAACACATAACGTGCAGTCGTACTGTGTATCTATAATTAAATACAGAAACGTAATTTTTCAGTTCAAGAAACAGGAGAGTGCGTTGATACTTTGCTCAGTGCAAAAGATATCAACATAGAAGCTCACACAGATTTAGGATGGACACCTTTACATTTGGCTGCCGAAGCGGGCTCGTATCATGCAGTGCGATCTCTTATTAGAGCAGGTGCAGATGTAAATAGTGCCGATATGTCGTACGGGAGAACTGTTTTACATATAGCGGTCGAAGGAGGACACAGGGATATAGTTGAATTTTTGTTAAAAAATGTATTGTGGAATATTTTGTTTTAAAAGTGTATATTTCCCGTATGATGACTTAAATGTGGTATATTAATATTTTTGATATATTTTATAGACCAAAATAAATGTAAACCAGAGGAACTTAGGTGGAAATACGGCGTTGCATAATGCAGTCGTTACACCGGGGGCGAAAGCCAAAGAGATCTGTTCTCTTCTGATAAGATATGGTGCCAATCCACATATAAAGAATAATAATCGTGAGTCAGAAGTACGTTTTACATTCGTTTGGTAACTAATTTGATAACGTAATTAGATATTCGAATATATAATGCGCTACTTTTTCGTATATGTGAGTAATTTAAATTCGAAGTATTCTCCCGTAGTATCGTGATACTGTCGTGGCATGTAATATTCTGAAAATGCTATATGATATGCGGAAGAATGATATAAATATACATAATTTCTAAAACAATGTTGACAAAAAGTGACATTACTAGTGAGAAGTGTATTTTATATAAATTCTAGCAGGAGAAAAAATGCTGTACAAAAATGTATAAATTAATTTATTCTTTCCTTAAGGCCCTTGTGTCCTTACTTTGGCTGTCCCTGTTTGGTGACGTCAGAAGCGAGAAATCACATGCCAAAATACATTACATAGAAATAAAAGAATATGTGCACAAAATAGCACTCGTGATAGATTCGGCGGCACACTTGTGAACACGTCCGGACGCTTTCCTTTAACCTGAACAATCAATCAAATTTACGGCAACAAGCCGTAAATTAATATAATAGAAATAAACCTAAAATTAATATAATAGAAATCATGAGAAAAGGCATGTTAAAAACGTAAGTTGCATGTTATACTAATTTTCGGCTATTTATTGGTTGTTTAAAGAAAGCGTTTTTACAAGTGTGCCATATCTATCACGAGTGCTATTTTCTGCACATATTCTTTTATTTCCATATAATATATTTTGGCATGTGATTTCTCGCTTTTGACGTCATCAAATAAGGACAGCCAAAATAAGGGCCGGGAGCCTGAAGAAGAAAATCCTTTCTTGTAGAAAAAGGTTTATCCTTATCAACAATGAAATTATCAGTACTTGATAGTAATGATAGTAATTAATAAATAATGAATAATGAATTAATAGTAAATGATGAATTTGACAAAGAGTAGATTACTCATTTGTACGCCTAGAATTTAAACATTATTCGTTACATTTGATCCTACTTTTATAATAGGAAGAAACGGCAGTTGCACCAGTTATAAAACGTGAAGTGGATTCCGAAGATGAAAACATGGAAGGATTCTCTGGGCAGTCTTCTTTTGATTTGGCATCAAACAATCCAGATGTATGACGAAAGATATATTTCATATTATTCTTGTTGCAGAGTATACATTTATTTATCAATAAAAGAATAAAAAATTTCGTATTTTTTTTGTTTGTTACAGATGTTAAATCTTGTATCTAGTAAGCATGACGCATTGTTGAATGCAGTTGATGAAATTAAAGAAGAAGAAGAAGATAATGACGAGACGCAACAGAAAATTTGGCTAGATAGAGAACAAGAAAAGCAATTATCAGCTATTCTAGATAGGACGGAGGGATGGAAGAAATTGGCTGACTATTTCAACTATAAATATTTAATGAAGACCTTTCAGCAAAGTTCGTCCAGTCCAACATTACTTCTCCTGAATTATATCACTGTAAGATCCTTAATTTTTTCTTTTATATTCTTTTATATTCTTATTTTCTCATAAAACGTTTTAAAGTTTCTTTTGAGCGAAATAGATAATTCAAGTACGTGATTTTTATCTCTCTCTAGATACAAAGCGATACGTCTCTTGAGCAACTGAAAAGTATACTACACAATATAGGCGAAGAGGAAGGTTCTATGTATATGAACGAAGTTTTATCTAAAACATTCATGAAACGCGTGCTTTCATCGTGAGCATGAAGATGAATTGTTACATTATATACATGTCAATACAATTGTAAATTATAAAATATATTGGTCCATATTTTCTCATTCACTTTTATTGATAAAAATACCTCTAAAAATTGGTTCAGAAAGCACGTAATTGGCTGAGAAATCACATTTAAGGCGCTTTTATCGATAAAAGTTTTAAAATATGGACCTTTTTTTTTTACACTACACATTACAAACACACACCGTTTAACATATGTCAGTGTATATTTGAAATATGCGTATTATATTCTTTATTCTTTAAAAACCAATTGATATTAGACGAATGAAATAAATTGACGAAATGTTAGTCTTTTTCGTTCGAACTGTCATAGTCTTCGTATGACGACAGTCGTTCGCGGAACAGTATGTTATGGACAGGTCCTACTTAACGATCACGAGTATCATTCTATCTTTGTTTCTTCTGGAGGTTAAACAGAAACGGAATGATACTTGCGAGAGTTACGTGGAACCTGTCCTGTATCACGCACATTGAAAAAACAAATCATCATCGTGGAAAAAAAACGACAATGACTTCATGATATTTTTGAATTTAATAAAGTCTTATTTTTATGAGCGGCTCTTGATAATTGTTTTCATTGGTGCTTTTGTTGATAAATTACAGATCTGTATATTATTATTATTAGTTTTCGTACATGAATTATATTTACAAATGTACAATGATTGATAACACACAATCAAATACAAAACATCACTTTATCCTTTGGCGTCTTAAAATACGTTAGCTTCCCTCATAGGTTCCGCTGTTAGGAATCTGTGGAAGCCTAGTTTGGACAGATCTATACTGACATAACGACCATAAAGGATCAACTCTGCTACTGCGCGTCCTACTGCTGGTGCCTTCTGAATACCGTGTCCGCTGAAACCAGTCGCTATTATTACATTCTTGTGAAAAGGGTGACGACCGATAATACCGTTTTCGTCGAAGGTATTGTATTCGTAGTATCCAGCCCACGAAGACTTAACCTGGTAAAAATATAATAGTTGAAATGTAATTTACAATGAAAAATAAAATTAATATACTTTAAGGTACATTAAGATTTCTGAATATTTATTGCGATTGTATTAGACTGCAACTTGAGAGACAAAATATAAGAAACTTGCATATATTTTGCATCAAGATCGATGTGATTACAGCGAGGAATCGTATGTTTTAATTGCATTTAGCATATAAATTATTTGTGTTTATAGAAATCGTATTCAACTAACCAAGTTTTTTTTTACATTTCTTTCACATGTATATTTATTTAATGATAAACAGAAAATACATACCTTCAAGTTTTCGAATGACGGTATTCTGTGGGTGAGTAATGGCCATATTTTGTTATCAAAATATTCATGATCGACATCTAAATTATCCACTGACGGTTCCTCGTGTAATTCTGGTGATTTACCACCAATGAAATTACCTCCTAGACCATCCCGCCTGGAAATCATTTCAAAATTTATCTCTCATATACGTAATATTACCATTTTATCTATTTTATTCATTTATAGTATATTCCGTTTCTAATATTAATTGAAGACACTAATTGTCCAATTTTTTAAGTATATTTACTCGTACCTGAAATATGCACCAGTGGTATCAATCGTTAAAGGTGTATTTAAACCAGGTCCATTGGGACTATGGAAACAATATACATATCTTTTCCTATAAAAAAGAAAAAGGTAAGACTCCGATATTGTATATGGTAATAGATTAAAATTAGCAAAAAATTGCACGTAATTTTTGCAAATCTTGCTATTAATAAAATTAATTACCTTGGTACAACCGGTAAAGGTATAGACATTATTCCTTCACCTTTTCCAATATCGGCCATTTCGGCTATATCGCCGCTAAACGCGCCTGCAGCAATAACACATATGCTAAACTGTATCTTCCTAATTTCACCATCATTTGTTACTATCTGTAATATGAAACAGATTTTCTATTAGAAGTACTAGAGATATTCATACTATTCATAATAAATATAAAGCTGACAACTTGTCTAAAAATTTAAAGAGATTATAGATTTTATCGCCCGATTTGCTCGATCATCGTTAGCTAATAGTTATCAATGCGAGTTAACATGGAGCAACGCGTTAACATTTGATATTTTTTAGATATAATTCTATAAGGTTATTATTTATCTATATAGTCCTATGAGGAACGAGGCTTTATTAAATATGTATCTTTTCTCAGCAATATCTCTTTCGTCTATGTTGCGAAATACTCGGTAGTTTTTACCGACGCTTGAGCAGACTGGGTAAACAAATAACTTGTAAATATTTTGTAATCAGCTTGTAAATATCTACTCACAACTACTTGATCTAATCTTTGTATGGGATCCATATTTTCGTCGTAAACTGCGGGAATTGTCCTATTCTGGAAGGCCTTAACTTCACCGTCGACGTAATGAGCACCCAAGTGAGTAGCCTTATTCTTTAAGGCGCACAATAGAGACCATGGATCAAACCATCCTTCCTTTTCCAAACCAAGACAACCTGCTGCGACCCCGTCGGTGTTCAACCAAGGAAACATGCGTTTCAATTTCTCCCGAGTGTAGATCACATTTTTGGCTCCAAGAGAATTTTGTAGTTTGGAATTGTTCACTAAAGTTTCAGCATTTTCCTCGGTTGCCAATATTAAATAGCCATAAGGATGAAAGTTCACATCGATAGGTGGTGCTTCAGGTATACTCAGATATTCATTAATATTATGCAGAAATTCTGCTCCATACAGTGACATTTGAATATTTTCTTCGAGAGAAAATTGTTGGCGTAGACCGCCTATAGAAAGACTTGTAGAAGCCTTAGCATACTAAAACAATTAATAATGAATATAATTTCAAATTACAGTTACTGCCACTCCAATAAAAAAGGAAAACTTATTTAAAAATTTAAAAAGATATGCATGATCTTACTGTAGGATCTTTCTCAATTACGCCAACTTTAAATTCATCTCTGTACATTATTTTCTTTAACCAATAAGCTATTGAACTTCCTATTGCACCACCACCAATAATGAGTACATCACACTGATAAGGAATGATGTCATTTCTATTCCAGAAACGTTCAAAGTCAGATAGTTCTCTGTCATTTGATAATACTTTCTTCAGCAATGTCCACTCTCGTTTTAGACTCTTCAATATTCTTACTCTTGGAGGAGTAGTGTCTACAAAATTTCTATATTTTGCTGTGCTATTATCGTCTTTGTCATTTGAACTCTACAGATTTAATACAGTAGTAATCATTAATTTTGTTAAAAAATAAATAAAAACTTTTTTTAACTACATTTCTCAAACTAGCTTTTTCTTACAAATTTTCGCCTTTCTGAAGTGTAACATACATACAAGAGAACGAATTTGTTGTACTTTTGTAAGTATAGATATTAAATGAGACATGCTTCAAGTGTATATATTAATCGTTATAATCATAATCATTGTAATAATAAATGTTGGCAAATAATTTTTATGTCATATTTAATGAAAAACTGTATTTGTTCAATTTATAACTTCAATCGGACATATACTTTACTAGTAGCATATAACACACACAATACCTGCTTTCTGGACGGATTTACGTATTGAACCGCCGAGCACTGCTTCAGAAAGCTCATATGTTTCTTTCCATACGTCAAATATCGCAACATTTTCGTTGATTTTTAAATTTCCGCTAATTGTTAGAAAACGTGAAACCACTTAACTATGAAAGTGGTTATGTCGTATTCTTGTATTCCTATATACGTGATTGATATATATTTGACTTTTTTTTTTTTGGAGGCAGTGCTAGAATAACCTCCTTTCCTCTCCTTTCCTTTCAATTGTTCGTTAGTGTTCCGAAATGTTTAAAATATAACCGGCGATGGTACTTACCGTGCCGTAAAGTTCCGTGTGACAATCGATAAATGCTAAAGGCTCGGAAAGAAAGGACTTATATCACGACTGTATCATTGAATTTTTTTTTTGTTCTTCGTGGGAGGAACATCGATAAGCAGGAAAAAAAATATATTTTTAGATTAATCGCATCTCCTTATCATTTCCTTATCATCGTAGAATGCTGCATACATACGATTGCACAGTAATAGCCGACACGAGAATATTCTTCATAGGTTTGTTCGTTTACGCTACACTAAAACTGCACAAGAACTGCACTGAACTGAACTGAACCCAACTGGGACAGACTAGAGGTCTGTTTATTTTTGCTGCACTGCTGGGAAAGGGAATCAGAAATCTCTACTTCTGAGCCCTGTTAAATTCATAACGATTCTCTCGTTTTTCGCAAATATATATCGTTGATACATTCGAACGAAATATAATGGTCAATTTTTCAAGGCATAAGGCTTGAAACTCTATTATAGACCTTATATGTCAAAAAGAGATAGAATGCTTGCATTCAGCAAACGGTTGCGTAACGGTTGAATAATTCGTCAACGTAATTGATTTAAATTTAGTGATCTAACAATAATGACCAATAATCAATGATTGTTTATTAATCGCTTTTTCCACTGAACGCAGCTAATAGTTGCGTTCAGATAACATAAGAGTTGTACAAGTGTTGAGTAATTCGTCAACATAATTGGTCTAAATTTAGAGATCTAACAGTAAAGACCAATCGCTTGTGTCTTTTGAACGCAGCCAATGACATTTATAGCATGCGAGCGCCCAAATTGAACGCAGCCTAAGCGGTGAATTTTCGCATCTGATTAGTTTATATCTTGACCGAATCTAAAAGTATACACCAACCAAATCTGAGAGCTCACAGAATGCTCAGTAAACGGTTATAATACAGAAAGCACGCGATGTCTCATCGTTCTCGTGTGTTTATACTCCGGTCGTGACGATACAGTGTCAGACGGTGAAGACGGGTGCTCATATCTTCATCGCGGGATCATCGTCGAGAAAGCGTGCAACGCGATGATCGAATGCGACATTGTATCGACGGACAGCTCGTGTGCGCTGCCGTATTTATGAGAACGAGTTACTAGCTACGATACGGTAACGAATGACACGAAGAAAAAGTCAAACAGCGATAGACTACGATCGGTTGTGGTGCTTCGTTTAGCCGACGCTGTTGACTTGCATGCATAATGTAAATGCATGAATTTTCACACGACTTGAGAATTTATTCTTTCGTTAACTTGCCAAATTCACAATTGTCCTCATCGCTCGATATGATCGGACGATTGTATCGAGAACTTTAAGGACGATTTGATTTTTACAATCACTTCGTAGGTCAACCCGAACGCGATGTTTGGAGAGTTTTCGTTGCTCGCGCGATTACTTTATTTACTATATTTGATATTATATTTAAGAAATAATCGATCTAGAAAAGAATCAGATGGAAAATAAATAAGATAGTAGAACCGGAAAGTCGTGCACGTCTTGCGATTACAGCTATTTTGGTAGACACAATGGAACACGTTCTTGTTAATTATAACAATGATAACAATAAGTAACAATAACAGTAATGATAAATGAATGAAAGATACATTGATTGTAAAACAGATGTTATCATGTCGCCGATCCTATTATTATATGTGTACTACTATTTTTTTTATAGATCGACGTTACAGTCATCGATACCAGAAGGATGTCGGACGATGAGAGGCAAATTAGAATGGCTGCTGAGGCTATATTAAGTGGCTCCATTAATTCTCAGAGGAGCTCGGTCACCCAACACAGCATCACGAGAACACCAGATATCGTTCTCAGTGAGGATTTGATCGCAGGAGCGAGATACAACGGCAGGATGTCCCATGTCAGACGTTCGTTCTGTCTCTTTGTCACTTTCGATCTCCTCCTTACGTTTCTCATGTGGTTGATTTGTACAATGGTGCGTCAATTTAATCGACATCAAAAGTGATTTATAGAACTGTTAAAACTTTTGATTTAAAACTAATCTTTTCCAATTTGGGTAAATCATACAATGACCTTAATTATTAAAAAAAATTTTAATGAAACAATTGAGATGATTATGTCTTGTATAAAAAGAGATGATTTCAAAATTCTATGCGACAGATTATACCAGAGATTTCGGCCATGCTAATGATTATTCCATTATACTTATAGATCGCAGGCCAAAGTTTAAAAACAGCTTTCATCGATCAGGTGGTGCACTATCATATAAAGACATCTCTGTTCGACATCGTGGTATGTACATTTTGCATGTCATTACCTTTAATAACAAAATGACGAAAATGACATTCAGTTCGTCATAATTTTTCATTATTCGTTGGGAGCAGAGATTTTACGGATGTCATCTTCTCAGATGGCAGCGATTTGCAGGTTCACAGTCTTGTTGCTCTTTTATGCGCTGTTGTACGTCAATCACTGGATCATCATAGCTGTAAGTGTAGAACTACATATTACTGTCGTTTGGATTCTCCTTTAGATAAGACGAAAAATAAAGCAGCTTTGTTTCTTGTCCCGTCTAATTTCTTCGCAATATTGCTCCCAACAATCGCGCAATGCAAATACTAATTTCGGCTTTGCATTTTACAGATATCAACTGCCGCAACATGTGTCTTTTTGATCGCGAAGGTTTTTGCTTTCGACGTAAGTGTTTTATATATTTGATATTTGTGTATACTTTATATTAAGGTTTTTATGATTATTATTTATTTCATCAATACATTTTATTATTATTTTTTATCTTTTAAATTTAATAATGTATATAATTTGTTATTGATCTCTGTATGCAAATGATGCACCTACGTCTTTCAGTGGTTATCGACCAATCAACCGGTATTCCAAGTTTTGCTGATCATTACATCTTTTGTATTAGCATGGGCAGAGGCGTGGTTCTTCGATTTCCGTGTGATTCCACAGGAAATTCAAGCGAGAAATTGGTTTCGAAGTAAGTTCCGCTCAGAAACTGTTTTTATCTCAAATCGACAAGTGTCAAACAGCGTTTATGAGCAGCGTTCATTCGAAAGGCGAACAAAATATCGACGAATTTGCGAAACTTTCAGATCATCCGGCAACGGAGAGATCCCCACTGATACAAGCAGTTTCCGAATCACGGCAATACAGTAACGTCGACCACACAAGCACATTTTTCACGCCTATGGACTCCGATAATTCTGACAATGACGACGATATCTCTAGGAAACAAGGAGACGCGAGTATGTCCATACCCACCGAAGTACTCATGAGCGTAACGGCCCTTACGCCTTACGAGGTAGGTGGGAGATGTTGTATATTTGCATTGTAATGCGTTGCAAAATAGAACGTGTAAATTTGTATGTTGATTGTTCAAATTTCACGAGGCGATGCTTGCATTCAGTAAAAAAAAAAAGCAAGCGCTTTCAATGATAATTGTTTCTGATTAATTCTCCTAGATCTATAGAAAGTCTAAAAGAATGTCCCAATGATGGAAGCTGCTTCTCTGCTGAACGCAACATTCTTTGCGCGAAATTTCGAATACTTAGAGATCGGAAGTAGAGCATTTCCGGAAGTCTTCTATTTTTGATTTCTGATTACGAGTGGAATCGATAGACAGAAGTTTCAGACAATTTTATCTTCCAAATTCTTTCGAATCTTTTTAATTCTTCTTTTAATTCTTCTTTCTAATTCTTCTGATCATCTGATTATTTGATTATCAGATGAAAAATCAACGAGATTATATTTGCAGAGAGAAAGAGAGGGGAAACACAGATGATCGTTTCGCGTTCCGTCGTTTGCGCACGATTTCGCGTGTTTATACCATTAAAGATCATCATACTATCCTTCCATATTATGATGCTGCCAGTTGACGTACTCTTTCATTGAGTCGGGGGGGGGGG